TGCTGCTTTTGCTGCTCAGCTGTAGGCGTGACACATTTAATCACGCCTCTTCAAAAACCACAGACATCAGATCAACTCCCATGTGTCTCGGGGAGAAAATGTTTTTATCACAGTGATCTAGAAAATGCTGCTTGTAAAAAGTAGCTTCTATCTTGTGGTGAATTCCAAGGCACACAATATTTGTTAAGAAATAAACAAGGTGAGGAACATTTCCTGATAGATTTGAAAGTGTCTTTGTTGGCAAACTTCTGGGCCTGGATGAGGTCGGGGCTGGTTTCAAAGTCAAGTTCCACTTTTTGGAAGGCAGAAAGGTCAAACATTCTGAACTCCATTGACAAAATGGCAAACCCCAGCAATGAGTGGGATGTTGTTTACTGTGTTTGCAGACTAGGGCGGGCTTACATTTATTTTCCCCCACTTCAAAAATACCAAGCACACCTAAAACCGGAGGCAGCAGGGAGGCTCCACCACAGGAGGCCTCGAGACAGACTTCACAAGAACTGCTTAGCAAAGTGGGCAGAGTGAGAAATACTATGTAATGTTCTGAAATGGCCAATGAAAAAAAGGTAGAGATTGAATTATTCTGATGTCCAGGCTCCAGAAAAGGGAGGCAGGAAGTGGAAGAGTGCTTTGATCTAGTCATTCTGTTTGTGTCATAGCTTCTCAGACTTAATAAATGAAGCACAGGCATATTTTAAAAAGAAGTGTTATTATACAAAGAACTCGATCATTCAGAATCAAGCAAAATAAGTAACAGTCATGCAAACTCTGAAATTGTCCTGGTGGACAGTTAAATATCATGGGACAATGATACACACAGCAAACTGAAATTTGACCAACATGTTGACATGGTTTATAGGAAAGGAACACAACAGACCTTATACTTTTTAAGAAAAGTGAATTCTTTTAATGTTTGTTGAGCCATGATGACTCTGTTGTATCCTAGTTTTATTGAATCTTTCTGCACTGTGGTGTGGTTTGGAAATCCTAGCTTGTCCAGCAAGGGTAGACTTTTTTTTAATCAGTGGCAGCTGAAATTAATTTTGCAAATGTCCCAGCTGTTAATCTGTTTTTTTTTTTTTGCTTTTGATTTTCTGTGTGAATGATAATGTTGCTTGATTTAATTGCTGTTG